GGACACCTGTCCCACCCTGCTGTCACGGTCAGGAGGACATCATAAACTCTGTCTGACATGTGACTATACTATCTTGTCTACTGTAAAGAGGGAGGACAGAGGAAAATTAATTTCAAGAGAGAGAGACAGTGATTGAGAGAGAGCGAGAAATACTTAAAATATTCTAAAAACGGCATGCATACGAAAAAGGAAAGTTATTTGGTTGTCCAGCCCACCCCAGCCCTTCAAAGGGGAGATCCTACATCACACACCCAGGCAGGTAACCCGGACAGCCAGACAAAGGGCAGGGGTCAGCTATGGTAGAACATAGATCACCCTCCAGAATGTCTAATGTCTAGCTATGGTATAATGATGGCATTGAGGCCAGGAAATGTAATTATGGGATAGCGTTCTCTAGGTTAGTGTTCCCTCCATCTGCTCTCTCTTTACCTGTAAGGCAGCTTCGCTCGCTATGTGTCGGCCAAACTAGGCCTCCTCTCAAATTACGGACAAGGTTAAAAAAGCTTTTCACAGTATGTGTGTGTGTGTGTTTCCTGGAGGGAGGAAACTCTCGTTGGGCTCACTAAGAAAGAACAAGATGCATTCTCTTTTACAAGAGGAGCGGTAAATCTGACATGGGTGTCAAATAGCAGCCCATACCAGCCAGACACATACCGCTGAATACATAGGGAAACGGAATAGTCATGTAGCACAAAGCTACAATTAACGTACAGTGCACGGTGGTTCCAAGATTATACCAAAAACATATTCTGTTAAGCATAATTGGTTTACTTGCCTGAACAATTTTTGACAGTACATAGTCGTAAATAATGAACCCTGTTGATTTGTGCACCAAAGTTCCCTTGGCAGCATTTAATGGCCCATTGTGTGAATGAACACACACACACACACACACACACACACACAGGTAGCTAAGGGAGGATTTCCTGCCCATGTCTCTTCCCAGCAGTACACTGATTGGAGGGGACGAGGGGTTGGCCATGTTTGTTAAGGTAATGGGCCGAAGGTGAGGTAATTCACAGGGTACACACTCTGACACCTCGGAGTTCCACAGGGGAGGAGGCTCCCCCACAGCTCTACACACCCACTCCCTAACTCTACACCCCACTCCCCGCCTCAACCTCCCCCCAGCCTCAGCCACAGCCTCAACCTTACCACCACCCCCAGCCACCAAGCCCTCAGACCCCACCCCCATCCCCAGCTCCAGCTCCAGCCACAAGCCTCAACCCCAGCCTCACCCCAAGCTCCACCTGAAACTGATTAGCAGGCCAACCCCTGAGCACACAGACCCATATGGGGAGTCTCCAAGTGGGGCTACGGCCGGGCACAGTGAGACCTCCAGCCACCTCCTCCATCTCTATAGAAAGGAGAGGCTGAGCAAACACAGCTAATTAAGACTTAACAAGCACTGCTGGTTTAGCACTAGTCTGCTAAATGCCATATAGGTTCTTGGAATTGTGTTTGGTAGATTCGGCTAAAATCTCTCTGTCTGAGTGCTTAGCCCTTTACAAGATAAAGTTGTATTACCGTATCTTTCCCACCATCTCTGGGTTAAGTCAATGCAGACACACACATACAAACACACGTACACACACACACAAACACATACACAAAGAGTCTTATTTTCAACATGAAGAAAAAACAGCTTGGGTCAACACATTCATTAGTTTAATGAGTTCAATTGTATTTTGGTTGACAAGGTCTCATAAGGGCCATTTTCACATGCTCCCTGACACTGAGGAACTCTGTGTCTCAGTCTGGCTTGGAAATCAGGACTGAAACCTATTACCACACAGTGAATCATTACCTGTTGTTGGAACAGACGGAGTACAGTGGCAACAACACACTGTCTCACCTCACACCTTGCCATCATTCTCTCACCCCTATTCAACCATGCCCTCCCTCCTTATTGTTATAGTGTGTGTGTGTGTTTTCACACATCTCCATCATTGGTGTTTATTGGCACTTGTGGAAGAATAATGGATATCTCTCCTCCAACACACACCACACGTCTGGTTGGTGTCGTCCTGACTCTGACCGTAATCAATGATAAACACCCATTTAGACTGTTCTTATCTCATATAGTAAACCAGATCTAATCACAGTCACACTATGTCTTTAAACAACATAGGTCCCATCTCTCTACACAAACAGGCAGACTGATGAATTAAAGTGTGTTCTTTTATTAGATTAGTGTGTCTGCTGCATGTGAAAGCTCCCTCACATGACAAAGACCTGGCTCCAACCCAAACACAATACTACTCAACCTTAACTCCACCAATTTGCTGCTTAAATCGTTAATTAGAGTGCTTGGGACTATAAGGTTCCATCTGCAAAAAGATGATTCTGAGATAATTGGCTTTAAAGTTCCGAACCCTCATTGGTTTGAATGATGTCAGTTATTTTAACTTAACAGCATGAATTGGGATATTTAGAGTACTATATAGGTAGAGAACATTGAACAGAACAAGGCTATATCAATAACTCAATTTTGACAAAAATGCAGATAGAACCTTATAGTCCCAAGCTCTCGCATTATTCTTGGACATGATAATGGGAGGATAAAATACACTGTTTCTTACATCATTCTTGTTAAACACCACGTAACACGACAAGTTACCGCATTTGATCAATGTTGTGTAATTAAACGTTGTATTTAATATTACTCTAGTTGTAGGTCAACATGTGCAACTTGACAAGGAGTTAACATGGCTTTAATATTGTTTATAGCTTATCAAACATTTAGCGCCAAATGCAGGCTACATAAAAATGTATTCAGAGTTTGCATATCTGGGTAACAGAAGGGTTTCTGTATCCCCTCAGACAGGGGCACTGCTCTGCTACGCTGGCTCTGCTAAGCTGGGTCTTCTACGCTGGGTCTACTACGCTGGGTCTACTACGCTGGGTCTTTGAGCGCAAATGCGGGAAGTGCAGTCTAAAGTAATAAGGGAAGCATGTGTCACTTTGGAAACCAACCACACCACCCGAGAGGGTCTCAACAGTGAATTGAAAATAATTAAGTTCTGAACAGATGCAGTAATCATATTTCTACCCTTTCAAACTTGGAATGCTGGAGCTGTGAGTAACCCAACTCTGGATTTAGTCAGCAGATATGGTTGTGTCCCAAATGGCATCCTATTCCCTATATAGTGCACTACTTTTGGTCAGGTCCTGTAGGGCATTGGTCAAAAGTAGTGCACTATAAAGGGAATAGGGTACCATTTGGAATGAAATCATAGGCTAGCCTGGTGAGGGTCCAGTTGGTGGACGGAGGGAACACACATAGGCCCCATCTCCATGTTAATTAATGTGTTCAACAGTAATATACCCTATCACAGTGTAAGTGATGCTGATAGTCATCTGCTCACTCTCTGCTAGTTTGTTTCATAATGGTCCAATCAGAAACCAAACACCTGTTGTCAGTCTTTAACCACTCTGCATTAACAGGCTTTGTTTTTAATTCTGCAAACATTCCATACTAATAGATACTAAAGGTCAGTGCAAGGGGTAGGCTATATGGCTAAGGCAGGCGAGCCATTGGCTATTTATAAACAGATTATTACACCTTTAATAAGTTTTGTAAAAATACATTGATTTATCCATTGTTTATCACATTAACATATAATGCTTAATGAATGTATTGCCAAAACAAAGCTCGACACTATTCATGGTAGCTTATGTCAAAAACGGAATTGTCATGAAACAAAGTAGTAATTGTTTATTGCAGTAGGCTGTAAGTTAATTTAAGCAAACTACACCATCACTTTACAAAGAGTAAACTGGACTGGACTAGTTGGAAGCAGGGGACACGTTGTACTCTGCCAGTGTTTTACAAACTGTGATGCTTGTTCTTGGCGTTCACGCAATTACCTCCCCTGCGTGAGCCCTATACAAGTGCTAAACAAAACATCAGCACCTCAATTAATTAATTAATATCCCTTTCTCACAGACAGACAACCCCCTGGGCAGCCCTATCACGCACAAATTAACCTTCTGAAGAAGGAGCTCTCATTCCATTATGGGTCGCAGTGGTATTTTAAATATTTTGAACACAGTTATTTTTGTCAGTGTCACTAGTGATTTTTTTTTTTTTAAAGGAAAATGGACAAAGGTATTAAATGAAAATACTTTGCGCATAAAAGGTGTATTTTCGCTAGTGTGGCTACTGGCAACTTTTCATTCTAGCTTCATACAAATTACAGTAGCCTATATAAATGTGATCAATGGTATGTGTTATTACTGTATTATTATTCTGGTGTTTTTATTCTACATCTGGTAAGCCTATTCAATAATCACCTACTATTACGTGTTGTGTTACACGAACACTCCATTTCATTTATAATGGAATTTGTCAAACATAACCGTAGGTAACTGAAAAACAAACTAAGGCTATTAAACAAAACGCTCTAAGAAAACTTGATTGACTTACCCCAAAGTCCCGCCCCTGCTGTCTGATTAGTCAACCGAGCGTGGGGGAAGGACTTCACGTCTCCAATATAAGTACTCAACGCGGCGTCCGTGGCACCACGAATTGTATGGGCAATAGAACATACAAAACACACAACAAATGTAGCCACTGCGTTTCGGGACAGTAGCCACGAATGTTAAACTTCTATAAAAAAAATTAACGGAGTATGCGAACCAATTGAGGGGCAAGAGGCTGATCGAGGATAAGCTACAGGATAACCATAGCACCGCTTTTTTTTATTTTTTTTACAAGGGAATAAAGCCGGTTGTTCTGCATCTCTCGCTTCTCCTCAGTCCTCAGCCATCTTGACTGCTCCTGTTCGCCTGAAGGCTATATTTCCCCATCCCGCTCCTCCTCTGAAAGTATACACGGTTTGCAAATTGCTTGCAACTCCGTGCTAAAAGAGTAAGCGAGATGGGTTCACTGTACACAATCTAATTGGACTGAGCTGGCTCTGGCAAGAGAAAGGGGCAAGCAGAGGAGGACTACTGTACCGCTGTTTTATCAACAGAGGAGAGGGATCCGATAAAGGATGGAGTGCTACCTGTTGGGGATATACCTGCTTCTTGCACTTGCTATTTTACCGAGATCCAGCGGCACCACGGCGAAAGAGATCACCTGCCAAGAGATAGCCGTGCCTCTGTGCAAGGGGATCGGCTACAACTATACCTACATGCCCAACCAATTCAACCACGACACCCAGGACGAGGCGGGCTTGGAGGTACACCAGTTCTGGCCTCTGGTTGAAATCCAGTGCTCGCCGGACCTCAAGTTCTTTCTTTGCAGCATGTACACTCCTATTTGCCTAGAGGACTATAAGAAACCACTACCACCGTGCCGGAGCGTCTGCGAGAGAGCAAAGGCAGGCTGTGCGCCTCTAATGAGACAGTATGGTTTTCCCTGGCCAGACAGAATGAAATGTGACTCGCTACCAGTTCAAGGCAATCCGGAGATGTTATGTATGGACTACAATAGGACTCACTCGACCACAGTTTCACCGGTCCTTTCTAAGCCCACCAACTATCCGGGTAAGGTGTTTAACCCTAATAAAAACAACAAAGGACATAACCGACCCGGTGTTCCCGGTAAATATAAACCCCCGGTGTCTCCCTGCGAGCCGCAGTGCAAGTGTCTTTCGCCCATGGTCCCGGTAAACACTGACCGGCATCACCTCTACAACCGGGTGAAGACCGGACAGCTTCTAAACTGCGCCATGCCCTGCCATAACCCCTATTTTACTCAAGACGAGAGAACGTTTACGGCGTTCTGGATAGGTCTGTGGTCCGTATTATGTTTTGTGTCCACGTTCGCAACTGTTGCCACTTTTCTCATAGACATGGAGCGGTTCAAGTACCCAGAGAGACCCATTATTTTCCTCTCCGCCTGTTACATGTTTGTTTCCATCGGGTATATCGTCAGACTAATCGCTGGACACGAAAGGGTGGCCTGCAACCGGGAGTATGACGTGGAACACGTTCACTATGAGACCACTGGCCCTGCACTCTGTACTGTTGTGTTTCTTTTGATTTATTTCTTCGGCATGGCCAGTTCTATCTGGTGGGTCATCCTCTCTTTGACATGGTTCCTGGCTGCTGGGATGAAATGGGGAAACGAAGCCATAGCCAGTTACTCCCAATATTTTCACCTGGCTGCTTGGCTTATCCCTAGTATGAAATCTATTGCTGTTTTGGCCCTCAGTTCTGTGGACGGGGACTCTGTGGCTGGAATTTGTTACGTTGGCAATCAAAACTTGGACAATCTGAGAGGGTTTGTGTTGGCCCCCCTGGTCATATATTTATTTATCGGCACTATGTTCCTCCTGGCCGGGTTTGTGTCCCTGTTCAGGATACGCAGCGTCATCAAACAGGGTGGCACCAAAACAGACAAGCTGGAGAAGTTGATGATAAGGATAGGGATATTTACAGTGTTGTACACCGTACCTGCCACTATTATAGTGGCCTGTTACTTCTACGAGCAGCACAACAGACAGAGTTGGGAGATAACCCACAACTGCTCCTGTTTGTTGGAGCATGAATTGAACAAGCCGGACTATGCTGTCTTCATGTTGAAGTACTTTATGTGCCTTCTGGTGGGCATCACGTCCGGCGTGTGGATATGGTCGGGGAAGACGGTGGAATCATGGAGGACCTTCTGCACGCGCTGCTGTTGGGGTAGCAAAGGCACGAGTGGCTCAATGTATAGTGACGTGAGCACAGGACTAACCTGGAGATCGGGTACTGCCAGCTCTGTATCTTGCCCTAAGCAGATGCCATTGTCACAGGTTTGAAAAGAAACCCATGGATGGACTAATGGGCTAATTGTTCCGTAGCTTGGCTAGCATTATTTTTATACCAGTTAGCATTTTAACGAGGTGTTGATGGCCTTTGTTAAAAGAACTGCTGAAGAACTGGTTAAAACAATGTAGCCTACCTGGCATTAACAAGAGTTAATTCCTACCCATTCATATGTATAGAACGCGCAGACTGACGTTTCTGGGCGCATGGGCATTACGTCTTCTTTCTTTTTACGCAAAGAAACATTTAGTTCATAACCCTATAACAACTGATTGATAACCTTAACATAGTGCCAGTCAGATAGAATTGTGTAAATCAAATCAGAACAATATCAAAGATGGTTTAAATTAAGCCTTAATAGCGCCCAAATATTATACGTGTCGTTTTTTAATTATACAAATGTATTTATATAATGGTTATGTACAAACTTGTAAATTCTGTATAAAAGAAAATGTATAAGCTATTGTAAATTTGTATAAAGTGTAGAAGATGTCTCTTTGTGAAAAAGCAAATATGACTTTTATTTTGACAATAAAAATAAACATTTTGATAAATGTAAAACTTCTGTGTAACTTTTCTAAAGCTTTTTGATTCTGCTACAAATCACTCCCTACTGGTACTCGGTACTTTGTGGTTCCTTGCGGTCGGTCAGTCACCATGTTGAAGACCGCTGTAATAGATGCTTTTGTGAATCTGAGTAGCAAAGAGAACCCTTTTAACCATCGGCCTCGTAATTAGAGGCAGCGGTTGAGTTGAAGCATCCCCTCTCCATAATGGTTCAAACTCTTCACATGATTGCATAGACCCGCTACTTGATTGACTAAAAGAGGACCAAGTTGAATAGAGTTTAAATGTAGGGAACGGGTTCTTTTCATCTGTCGGAGACTTTGATCTTTCTTTTTAATGGCAGAGAATAAAGGTGACATGTAGTTAGAAGTGTCCGTCAGATGCGCCAATGATCCCCTAATGTCCAATTTGCGCGACCGTTGTTGCTTTGATGGACGTCGTTATTGAATTAAAGAACTGTAGGGCTCCTCTCTTGCTTTGGTTCGTCAGAGCAGAGCTGCTGAAGCTGTAACTGTTCACATTTTATAAAGCTGAGTCAAAACATCTGTCTCAACTCTCTATGTAGCCTATTATTGAGACCGCAGGGTTTTGACGTGATATTGAAATGGCGGTGAATGCTCCACAGCTGGTCTGTTCACATCATGTCACATCTTAGGACGCCCCGGGACAGACGTTTTTGCAGCAAATGTATCTGTGTGTCCAAGTAACCCCAATGCATTGGCATAAGATGATACAATATAATCCCCACATAGAATGTGCTTAATTTTTTAACCAAAATGTCAAATGTGACTGTGATCCTCTGATATTTGAGGTATTTCTCTAAGCCTCTTATATGTTTTGTGGCACAGCTAAGCATTATTTGGATGAAGATCCACGCAATGGACAGATGTCAATTGAGAGTGTTTTAAAGCTACCTTGTGTGAGTAAAAACACTGGACCTAAATGTGGTGTGACCATAAAATAATGTCTGGAATGAAGATAGGCCTATTAACTAACAACTAAGACTATAACTATAACACGGTTATTCCAATGTTATAACATTTACATCATTTAGCAGACGCTCTTATCCTGAGCGACTTACAAATTGGTGCATTCAACTTATTATAGCCAGTGGGACAACCACCTTTTTAATTATTATTATTATTATTTTTGTTTTTATGGGGGGTGGGGGAAGAAGGATTACTTTATACTATTCCAGGTATTCCTTTACAACACTCTTTGTTTTCGTTTACCTGGATCTGTGCTCTGACCTGGAGCTTCAACTATCCGTTTTGAGGAAACAATCATTAATTTATATTACTATCAACTTTACACACATGAAATTGGCCAAACTTATCCTGCAGAGATAACTTAGGTCTATACGGTTTAATTAAAAAACCACTCCTTGTTGATACAGACATGATTTTATACTCCCACCTAGTGGTAAAAAGAACGCTGTGCATCTGCTTTCCTCTGTCTATTGACCAAGCGGGCCATTCTGGGCAAAGGGGCAAGCCCTGGCTTGGCTGATTGTCACAAGATGTAATTATCCGTCTGTTTCTTAAGAGGATCGTAACCCAAATCTGGGGATTTTATCTAAGAAAGTTAAACCTGAACCCTGGGACTCCCTGGGAGTGTCGTTAAGATGGGCTTCACATCGTAATCAGAAGTGACTCCAAAAGGCCAAATGGCTGTCCACTCAGGCCTTATGACCCACACACACTGGACTCACTTTTCTTCACACATTGGATTGCTACCTGATTCCATTTCAAATCTGTATTTATTACAGCATGCATGTGTTTTTTGTGGAAATAAACTCAGAATAATAGGCAAATAGCCTACAATGTATCGCCATTGTAGCTACTAATAGCATGCCCTCCATGTCCTCCCATGTATCAGTCAGAGAAGCAGGTAGCCAACCTATCCTTCAACCCAATATCAACTATTAACAGAGTGAAATCCTCAACAACAAGATGAAAGATTAAGAACTCATCTTGAATCCTAAAGCTTTGTGCAGCAAGGCAGGAAACAACCTCCCATTGCAATGCAGCGATTGACTTGTCTGATTTCCTAATCAGTGGCTGCAGTGAAGCGAAGCATTCGTAGCCTTTCTGTTGTTACTCTCTCTGCCGTATGTGTTAAGAGATGCATGCATTCTGACATGGCTAGGCCATCAAATATTAATCACAGTGTTTGATGAAGGAGCAACACAGAGGATTGCAGAGGGTGAGAGCTAGGTTATGCTTATTAACGCCATTGATCGCTAGCGCAGGCATACGCACGCACACACACAGCCTTTTCATCTCCTAATGCATGGAGGGGAGATGTGGAGTGGAATAGGCCTATACATCAGTACAAAGCCTTAGTGAGGATGGAGGACACAGCAACTCTGACACCAACCTCAGATCATTTGCTAGCCAGAAATCAAAATTGATCTCTTGGCTATAATCAGCCTATATGTCACCAACCCCAATCAACATGTTGTGGTGTGCGAAAATCACAAAAGAGTAAAGGGACACAAATGTAATTAGGTATTGGATTAATATCCAAACACAGTGATCTGTGACTATACCACAGCTTTGTTGAATACTCAATTGGATATTTTTTAAACATTTTAGTCATTTAGCAGACGCTCTTATCCAGAGCAATTAAGGTTAAGTGCCTTGCTCAAGGGCACAGACAGGGATTCGAACCAGCAACCTTTCGGTTACTGTCCCAATGCTCTCAACCGCTAGGCTACCTGCCACCCTATCCCTTCCATATACAGTAAAGACTACATAATTTACAACATAATAAATAGACTCCACAGCTGTGTATCCAAGTGTATGACTACATCTACGGGATAGAGCATGCCCTGACCCAGTGCTCTGTGACTTGCTCAGATAGAATGGGAGGGTTCATGACCCCTAGACTGGTTTTATGCTCATGTTCCCAACAGGCCTGTTTAAAACACAGATGTTGAGAAATAAAGAGCTCAGCGACGTCTGTGTTCCCTCAGATTTTGGAGTTACACCACGAGGGATATAAACGTCACATAAACTTTTACAGTTGGGCTTGGGATTAAAGTTGCTTTAGGATTTAGGAAAATGGTCCTTCGAAAAATAGTAGATGACAGGCTTCCCCTACCCTGACTCTACCACCTGCCACACCCAGTTGGTGTGTTCCCAAACAGGAAATTCTATCATTGTGACATCTCATTTCTTCAAAGTATCCTCTCTGATTCAATTAAGCCATTTAAACTTCAAAAGACCACTTGACAAGTGGTCCGACCGTCCGTCAGTTCAATTAAGAAGTTAGTTCTTACAGTACCTCTCTAACTAAAGGACAGGTGTCAGCAGAGGCAGAATTGTTATTGCGTGTGACAAAGATGTCATGTCAGCATGACAACAATGACCCTGCAGAGGGAGAATGGTCCTGCCTCTCAAGAGTTCCCATGCAACCCCCTTGTCCCCCACACAGCAAGGAGGAACACAGCGCTCCCTTCCCTCGGTCCCTGTGACTGACTGTCACACACACAAAAGGAAAAGTTATCCTTTCATCTAAAGGACTGAGCTCTTTCCCAGACATTCTTCCACAAAGGACAGTTTATAGTCTGACCACTATGATCTTCAGGAGGGGAGACATGCTACATGGAGAATACATGTCATACCTTCTCGCAGAGGAATGCCTAACTGTGAACAGACAGTAGGGCTAAGTGTTCATATATATATATGTAAAGTGTTGGTCCCATGTTTCATGAACTGAATTTTCCATATGCACAAAAAGCTTATTTCTCTCAAATGTTGTGCACAGATTTGTTTACATCCCTGTTAGTCAGCATTTCTCCTTTGCCAAGATAATCCATCCACCTGACAGGTGTGACATATCAAGATGCTGATTGAACAGCATGATCATTACACAGGTGCAACTTGTGCTGGGGACAATAAAAGGCCACTCTAAAATGTGCAGTTTTGTCACACAACACAATGCCACAGATGTCTCAAGTTTTGAAGGAGCGTGCAATTGGCATGCTGACTACAGGAATGTCCACCAGAGCTGTTGCCAGAGAATGTAATGTTAGTTTCTACTATAAGCCGCCTCAAACGTTGTTTTATTGAATTTGGCAGTACATCCAACCGGCCTCACAACCGCAGACCATGTGCATGGCGTTGTGTGGGCAAGCGGTTTGCTGATGTCAACATTGTGAACAGAGTGCCCCATGGTGGAAGTGGGGTTATGGTATGGGCATACATAAGCTATGGACAATGAACACAATTTCATTTTATCAATGGCAATTTGATTGCACAAAAATACAGTGACGAGATCTTTTTTTAGGTATCTATTCCCAGTCATGTGAAATCCATAGATTAGGGCCTAATGAATTTATTTTAATTGACTGATTTCCTCACATGAACTGTAACTCAGTAAAATCGTTGAAATTGTTGCATGTTGCGTTTATATTTTTTCT